GATCGTTTTTATTACATGTGTATAATACATTGGCTCATTTCCCATTAACCGTCAGCCATTTTGATTTTCGAGGTATCGACATCTGCATCAGATATACATAAACACATAAGCCAAGATGGTCATACACAAATAACTCATTCTTTTTTAAATAAGCTTGTGAGAATCCATTTATGATCAGATTTTTAGCTGTTATGTGAAAATTGGATATAATTCGAAAGAAACTATATATTTATTTATTGGAATTACTAAATTGCTCACTGACGTTTGGATTATTACATTATTTTGGATTTTTGTGAACTCATTTAAAGATATTCTAGATTGCATCATTGTGCATTTCAGGACATTCAGACTAGTGGAATGCATTTGGAACATTATACATTTTGTGACTTGTGAAAGGATATTTAGGAATATTTATAATTAATTCACAATATTGCGGGTGTCTTTTGAATTTTTTTATATTGTAGGGAAATAAATTGCGTATTGATTGTTCTTAAATTGTTGGGTTCACTTTCTGTTATATATTTTAATGCCTACAGTCGTAACACCAGTTAGACATAAGGCTAGATCGAAAACGCCAATCATTTATTGGACCTCTGCTAAAATATATGAGAAACCAAATGAAATACATATAGGTTAAGATTTGTTGCGTGTTATATATGTTGGAAGATATTGATTGAGGTATAAATCACGCCAGTACGATTCTAAAACAAACAGAAATGTTCCTGCAGAAGAAACATCGTAAAAGGAGAACTTAACCTTAAACTACTGCATTTTTTCTTCTCAAAATGACAATCACGGTCATATTGTAATATTATGCGTCATTATTCAAATCATTTGATGGCAAAAGATCTGAAGGTCATCATGGTGATTTTAATGTCAGAAGAGAGAAAAACTGAAAATAATACTCATTAAAGTCAAGCTAGATGTTAATATCAAACAATTTTAGCACCTTTTTATTCAACCACAGTTGGGTAAAGATAACTAATACAAACTACCTCCAAAGTCACTCACTATTGTTTTGGTATTTGGCAAATGTTACCAGACAAATTATATTATTTGGAATATAACTCTCATTGATAACCATCAACAACATAAGTTACAGAACAATTGTTATTAAGTTGAATGTTACACTCTTTGATAGCGACCAACAGAGTCTAGCCATAAGCAAACAAATATCAGTGATTCATCAGCTAAGAAGTTCATTATATTAATGTTAGATCTAATAAAACATAGCGAACAAACTCTGTTTAGCAATAAACGCTTTTTCGTTGTTTTAGTTTACAACTCGTATTTGCATTTATTGTTTCAGTCAAATTTTAATGTGCGTTTTCGAAATTTTATGATCTTGTTTAGTGTTATTCGTATTTAAATCCATCTATTTCGTACTTTTCCTATTCGTTTATTTTTGCTCACGTTAATGTATTGTTCTTTTATTCAGTCTTTCATTTATCTTAAGTGTACTATTGCATTTAGCAACTTATATATACTTTCCTATTATTGTTCTTTCGTTTTATAATAATTGTTGGTTTTACATTCTCTGTTACTTAGTTTAAGTCGTAATCATTATTGTGAACTGTCTTATACTTCGTTAACCGTTCTTTTTACTATGCTCATACCAACGTGTACAAAATAACTCTCAGGATAAACTATTAACTATATTCATCAAACAAGTAAATAGTTGTTTAATAGACTTAAAGTCACGTAATTTAGAGATTAGTGGTTCATACGCCAAGAAGAAAATTGTATTATTATTATTCGGTCTAATAAAACAGAGTAAATAATCTCTAAGTTCAGTAATAAATCCCGTTTATTGTCATAGTTTACATCTTGTATTTCCACTGATTGTTTCGGTCAAATTATGATGTGCATTTTGGGACATTGTGTGCACTCTTTAATTAAATTGTTTAGTGTCATTCGTATGAAAATTCATCTATTTAGCATTTTCCTATTCGTCTAACTTTGCTCACATTAATGTATTGCTCCTCTATTCTTTCTTTTTTTTTTGTATTTTACGTGTTCTATTTTAATTAGCAACCTATATGTTCAAAACTATTATTATTCTTTCGTTTCATTGGTCAATCCTTTTAATTATAAGACTGACTTTTGAAATCGAGAAATAAATAATCATTACTCAGATAAAAAAATTCGTCAGAAAATATTAAGGTACATAGTTATGATTACAAGGAAATGATAAATCAGTGATATAGGAATTCCTGAAGATTGATTAAATGTGCAATTGAAAACTTTTCATGCATTAGCTTATTTATATATTTGAAAGAACACGTCAAAATTGGCACGAGAAGGTAAACAGTCTGCAAAATCTACTAATCATAAAAACCAATAATCACTGCAGAAGTCTGAGAAAAAAATAATCTGTCATAAGTACTTTGAGGATTATCTAATTAACTCGTTCGCGAATTTAAATCGATATTTTTATTTCAAATAATTTTTCTCTTAATATAATTACAAACTGGCTTTCGTAATTATTTAAATGTAGATAATTTCTTTTCAGAGATATCCATAATTTTTGTTACATTTAGTAGCAGTTCAAGATTGATACTTTAAAACAAATTCAATAGTTTGTTCTATTATTTATTCTCGGAATAAGGTCAAATAGCGATGTTTGATTCTTATTCTATTTTTCAATCATTGAAACTTTTTAAAAAAAATATTTTTTTTGAAAATGAAAACCTTGCAGTCATTTTGTTGTTAGTTAAATTGTACTATAAATTGCATTATTTTGTAAGAACTGTACATGATCAGAGAGATATCATCTGTATTGGCTTCATTTGCCAAAATTACAGACTACATAGTTTTCTGACAAGGCTGATAAAACTAATAAAACCCTCAGCATGTAGAACAAAGAACAGAATGCACTTGAAAGAATAAAACGCAAAGAAGTATATCTCATGATAATGAAAACGTCGAGAAGAGTGTTACGGTCTAATGTTGCTGATTCGTTGCTACATGCAGAAGAAGAATCAGACTGACAGTCACTTCAGCTCATTCAAAGCAGACAGCCTATTCTGGAATGTTTTCAAAATATATCACTGAGAAGAACGTTCATCAGATGGAGTGGTGGAGGAGTGGCAGATACATTTTGTGTATTTTCAATATATCCAAATCTGTGATTAGATTACTCGAACAATGAAGTCTGTATAACATCATATAAAAGATTAAATCATTGCCCTTAAATACATCATACAGATTTTGTCAACGGATACTTCAAAGATGTTGCTCTATTTTTTCTAACACGTATCCGAAGCAATAAATTAATCATCTTACGAATTGTTTAGAAGAGCATCAATGTAGACTTAGTTAAGCTAATGAGTAAAACTGAACTAGTTCTGAGTTTTTGGTTTGGTTTGGTGTTTTACTACACAGCAGCAGAAGTAGGATATTTCAGAGCAAATTTTATTTTACAGGGACACGCCACGATCAAAGTCCGGCGGTGACCTGGTAGTATACTTTCGGCAATGTGTGCAAGATCGTCGTTTATAGCGATCTTAATCAGGAATTAATAAAAAAAATACTTGAACAAAAGATTAATTGACCAAGGATGTTTTGTAAATATTATTGAATTAAGAAAATACATTACTCTAAACACACTGTTGAGCATATATGAAAGAAGAATAAACTAAGACATATACCAGCATCCACAGACGTACGCATATTTCTACCTCACCTTCCGTTTTTAATGCACAACAACCGTGACTTTATGGCGTTTTGTGCTTTTAAAGCAGAGACGCCATCTGGGGAGAGAGGCAGTATGCTTTCATTACGTTCATATTGAAAGATAAAACCCGTCATCATGAAGATATACGAAGTACTTTCCAAATTTAAATAGTTACCTATAGCATTATCATGTTTAATAATGGCAATGATACAAGCACATTTTACTCTTGTATATATATGTGAAGATCCGAAGACTATAGAATTTGGCATATGAAATAATAAATGTTATATAAATATATTTTTAAAAATTCTTTTGAAAATGCAGGATCAGAAAAATTGCAGAGTTGTTTATGTTACTAGTTTTTTTCCAAATATCTAATTAAGGTTTATTTGTAAAGATAATATTTTTGGAATTCCATAAAAACGAATATCTGATTCTGATTTGTTTGAACATTTTTTATGGGTAAACAGAGCCATTAAAGCAAATTATTGTGCTTGAAATGGGATGTTTGTTCCACGGAAGAGTCGTCACGGTGGCTGATGATATATATAATTAGCACTTTGACTGGTACAAAATAATATGTATTCTGCAAGCACTGTAATTTTTCATGGTGCACTCACGTAGGCGTATACACAATTTATAGTAATGCGTGCAGTGATGAACTTAAATCGATCGTTCTAATTTCCCATTTCCTTCAGCATTCAGAGATAAAATTAATATCTGCTAACAGAGAAGAATAAGATCTGTCTCTAAAAATGAAATGTTATAGAAACGATTTAAGTCGTAAGTTGTTTTCATAAATCCGGTCGTGATTTCGTTCATTCAGTTTGCTTTTGACGTCTAACATTTTTATTTTTTTCGCTAAAATATTTTTTATCTTGCTCTTCAGTTAATGTGTTTGTGTTAGCTGTTATTTTTTGTTGTATTTGTCACTAATTATTTTGAAACAAAAACACTGCATTTTAACTTTTGTTAGTTCTGTTTGGTTTCGTTATTAAAATCTCATTCTAACAGTCCCAACAAGACTTTGAAGTGTTTTATCTTTACAGAGATTTTGCATTGTAACCATGTTAAGTCAGTCCCCAATGCAAATATCTTGTTATTTATTGCCAGCTCAATCGGCTGCATATATTGCACACAGTTTAGTGATGAATGCACTCTTTCTTTAAATTTGCCGTTTGCATTTGTAGTTTAGAGGAATAAATATTTATGAATTTTTGTTGGAACAATCCCTGTGCATCTAATATCTTTGTTATCTTTCAATATTTTCCCACTAAGCCTTCATGTCTTTCAACTTTTTCTCTATTGTCCTTCAACCGAGCCAGTGGCCTAAGTAGTTAGAGCATCCGCCTCGAACGCTGGAGGTCGCGGGTTCAAAACCCGGCCAAGTCATACCAAAGAATTATAATAAAAATGGTACTAGCAGCTGCCCAGCATGTCTCACAACATTAAGACATTAGTGATATAACTGGTCGGCCTGTTGTCAAGATAATGTGACTGGGTGGGACATGATGCTAGATATAACTGTAAATTGTCACACTGTACACACACACACACACACACACACACACACACACACACACACACACACACACGGCTTTGATATATTTCAACTTTTACCCTCTATGCCATGCTATCTCCCTTTCGTCCACGCTGTCTTTCGAATTGTTCTCTCAAAGTCATGATATTTTCAAACTCTCATATCTAAGCCATATCTTTCCAATTGTTCTTTTCAGTCCATCATAATCAAAATATCATGATCAAAAAGACTGAATTCCGTTCCTAAATTTCAAATGTAAATCGTTCTATCATATAATAGCAACATATTTCTGTTTTAGCAAATGTGCAAGAAATATTGCCTACTGGCATTCACAAACAGTTGAACTTAGCATGAAAGGAAGGCTATAGAGATTGGCTTTTCTTGTGCGTATAAATTATATGATAAATTATGTATCATTCCGTGTTCTTAACATTAGTTTATATGACTATGCTCTATTTTTTTGTTCCAAACATTCCTTTGGACCATATTGCCATACATGCCATAATTATAATAACGATACAGAACCTATGACAATTCAGCTGCATGGTTTCACATTCATTACAGAGAATTATCTCTAAAAAAAACTACAATTACGTCGATATTAACTTCTGACTTTTCTCCTAATTTTCCATACGATAATACTTTTGAGGTTTAAAACGATAAATATAATTATTTTAAAACTAATCAATACTTCCAATACCTTTTAAGGAATACTCGAAACATTTATTCTATACATATTCACATAGTAGAAAACTCCTCGTCAAATCAGTTTGAATTATTTATCTACCTTTGCTCAAATAACATTGATAAATGTAATATAAATAACTTGTTTTCAACAGCTTGCTAACGTTTACTACGTATGCAATTTTACCCATAAGCGAGAGTTTTTATATGCAGTTAATCTTTCGAAAGGTTATACATTATAGTTTTGACAGTATTTAATTAGGAAAAAACAAGAAGTTTGCATTATATGTGGAGAAAATGTTACTGGCGATGGGATAAAAGTGAAACCAATCCATAACATTGTGAAAATCAATCAAACGAATTCAAAGTATGTCTTCGTTGAAATTAGGGGAACTCTTAATTCAATGAAAATAAAAAAAAATATTTGTAGATTAGGAAGATATGATTATATGGCATTCGAAATGAGTAAACATGCCATTTAACATACCGCACTAAAATAGTTTTCCTTATTTTAGACGCTAACAACTCACTGGTATTTTCACATAAAACCGCAACTGATGAAATTCGCAAGCAGGTTCCAATCTGGGAAGTCGTTACTATCCCATCGGGATCATATCAAATCGAACAAATAAATGATGATCTTCAGTGCAGAATTAAATCAGTAACAGGAAAAGAATTGAAGATCGTTATTAAGTTAGAGTAGCCGTCGTTGAGAACCGCTTGTGAAATATCGACGCCGGACTTACGCTGTTGACATATACAAATCGTCGATCAGAAATGTGTTATACTGGACAACCACAGACAGCGCGATCTAATTATTTAGAAAAAGAATTTTTTCTTAGGGAAAACACACAGAGCACAATAATCTCTTCCCTAGATTGTCACGTTCATATAATAGCACACAAATTTCTCTACTAGAAGAAATCTACTAGATGGCAAAATTACATAAAAAATCACAGTGCAATCTATGAGCGCTATTTGAATATACGAATGATGATCTTAACAAAAATATTAATGCTGCAAAGATGCAACTGAATTGCCTGATTGCCGATGTTTCACATTTACGGCGGGAAATTATCAGAATAGCCGATGAAAACCCGATTGTATCTTCTTGATTATATTAAGATCACCAATTACGTACGTTCAAACTATCTGGGTTAGTTTATGATAAAACGAGAAAGGCTCTCAATAGCACACTATATATAGATAATATGGAGAAGGATCGCAATGACAAAATTGACAAATATTTCCCAAAGATTTATGCCACATGGGAAAATTACAACCCCCTCCAGATACAGAATAACTATACAACAGGTGGTGGTTGTCAATATCACGTCGACGATTTCTTTAACTCCAGTGTGTGACACAGTCAACGGTATCTATACCACCTCTGGGCAAGCAATACAAAGGCAAGCCCAGCATCGATATGTTTTTGCAGTATTTTATTTCTCCACATGTCCGACAGTGTTATTTGATTGTGGTAGTGCCCATTAATCCGGTTTATTTGCGATGTTATAATCAATCTCTTTCACAAATTCGTTTTCGTCTACGAACGGCCTCTCTCGGCCAATGACAAAAAAACCATTTGTGTCGTTTGGACTATTCTTTTCATTCTGCGAGAACTGATTAGATTACAATACACGATTTTTAATCTGTCTCGAATTTCATATTTTGGAGATAGTTCTGATCGTATTTTCTAACTGGTGCTTGTCAATGGAACAAATTTAGGTATATCAAGTTGTTCGTGTAAATCAGTCAATGACTAGTCCAATTCACGCTGGAATAATTGGATAAATATGTGTATATCTGCCCTCTTCCCGTCGTTCATTTGTTAAACATCAAGTTGAACCCCGAGACCATCTTGCTATAATTGATCGATCTCAGAGATAATCTCGTTAATGTTTTTTCTACTTTATTATACAATAAACGTATCTCTTTAATAAAGATTTTATCGAGACCAATTCGATAAAGATTTTATTGATAGTGTCAACTTAATGTGATACATCCATGTGGGCTTTCTTTAGCATGTGCGAATCCATGTCGCCGGGACACGATGTATGATTAATATTTCGCAGCGTACGTGTATCAACAACTTTTAAAATAACCAAAATATTGCAACTATCTCAGATCACTTTAGGAATCTGATTATACCTCTGGGTAACGAAAATGACATATGTGTTTTATGACGGCCCCGTGAAAATATTCTAGCTGGATTTGCTTGCTTGTCAAGCATAACGTCATCGTAAATTACATGATATTTCATATCCCAGTTAAGATCCTCGAAGGACGACGCTTTATCTATATCAGTGATAAATTCAGTAACATCATCTTCAGCTGCTGAAGATTAATTAAATTTCTTAAGAACATTATAGCGTCGTTGGTTATCTACGGATGGTGCTACTAAACAAAATTTGTCCCATTTTAGCCATCTCATTATCGGGTTGAGCAACAACTGGCTTTATCCGAACCAGACGAACCAATTATAATCTGCATGATGCTTTACTGGTGATTTCTCACGTGTCGCTAAAAAGTCAATCGCGTTCATATTAAACAAATATAATATGTTTTAATCATAATTTTATATTGTTTTCGATGCAAGACTGGTAGAAATTTCTGAGAGCATCCACGTTAAAAAATATCACTTTGGCACTTACAGGCAATTTTTTTACATGCGGTACACAAAAATATCAATATGTGATGTTGAATTGCTCTGCATTCCATGAGGAAGATATTGCTAAGGCACTCGAAAAAAAAAATACCGGTTACAGGTGGGCTAAGTATTCTGGTGAAAAGGATCTTTCCGGATATAATCGATGTGGTCTTGGAACACGCATTGATATTAGCCTTAACGAAAAGAATCAACCAAAACAGGGCGAATTTCCGGTAAATGCAATTGATCTAGTTTGCATTGTACAAGATGTCGCGTTTAAAAATCCAGATGTATAACAACGACATATCGCGGATGTCAGGGTACTTCAAACACTGAATTTGATACAAAATAAACACATAGGAGAATCACTCGCAAATTAGTTGATAAGATTGGTGATGAAAGGTGAAATAGTGTTATGAGCGGGCAATTAAACGCCAACTATTACATAATGTAGTTGATTTATTATAGTCCAAGAGGATATTCAGACAGTACAGTAGTAATTGAAAAACTCGCCGATGCAGCAGGTGTCACACGAGTTGTAGCCACAGATTGTCATTACAGGTCAAATTTAACGATTCAGCTTGGACGGTTTAATGTCAGCATACCCAAAGAGGTTCATAAAGCAGACATATTGTTTTTATCACATGACATCCATAAATGACGGACATACAAATATGAGTTGACTGTCGTAGACGTTGTGAGTAGATCAAAAGAGGCAGAACCGTTATCGTATACAACTGCAACGGAATTCGTAGCTGCATTTGAACAAATTTATTCCATAGAACCCATGCCACATGGTGGCTAACGATGGTCATAATTGTTACAGATTTATCCAAGCAAAGAATTTCCCGGTACAGTAAATACGCTGATGCAACATCATAACGTTAAAATTAGACGTGGACACACGGCAGCACATCGCGATCAGATTTGCGTTGAACGACTTAACCAAACAACTGCACAGCTAATATTTAGAAATCAACATGCCAAGAATTACTGCACGTAAATGACATATCTCAAGAAGTGGCCGCGTTGACTACGAGGTCAATATTGGAATAAACATGAAACGTGTCGATGCAATTGCGACAAAAAAAAACATATACCATGACGAAATCTCCAAATTCAGCAAAAACATCCAGTGTTTGGGCAGTAAAGTAACAATGAGGTATTTATATGAACCTGGTGAAATTGAGGGTAGTGCAGCAAGAGCATCTGATCCTTTGTGGAAAGTAACACATAAAAGTTTCAGCGTGGTAAGATTATTACGAAGCCACTAAAATTTGGTTTATATTTAACAGCTCTTCAACGTCGATTTGTAAGTGAGCAATTACAGTTGATTCCTGAAAAACACCCATTTACCAAAAGATTGGATACCCGCCAACACAAAACGCTAACTAAACATTTTTGCGTATGTGGCAGAGACTACTATTGATTCTGTCCACGGTAAATTATCTGAAATCATTAGGAAAATAGTACCACAATATTATTGTGTTCAAACAGGCGCAGAGGTTATTTTATCTG